CTGGCGCCCGGAATTCTGAGTTTTCTGATTATGCGTGTCTCAGAATGCTGCAAATGCCATTTCTGGGATTCAAATTTAAAAATTTTCCGTGCCTTTGGCACGAGCCCCCCCCCCCAGTGGTTTAAAAGGTCTTAAAACTGTTTATTCTACCGATAAATAAAGGGTTTTTTATTGACTGGGATTTCAATAACTCGGACTGGGATTTCTAATAAAAATCCAACTGGGACTGGGATTTTGCCAAAATTTCAGGTGGGAAATGGGATTGGGACCCCCCCTTCAGGACCCTCATTGATGTTACATGGGACAATTTTTAGCGACAATTTGCAATGCAAATGATGTTACATGAAATTTCATTGGCTCGGCCATGATTTGCACTGCGAATTGACGGAATTGTTGTTAAAAATTGAACTGTATCGCCTTTACAAGAATACGGAAGCTGAAGTATTTCATCCGCGTTTGACGCGTCATGTGATTAAAAATGTCATTATGAATATACAATCAGTTTCAAAAGTCTTGGGACAGATGCCACAAAACCTTTGAATTTCAACAAACGTCAATCCCGCCAGGTTTGATGTATTTTGGTTTAAGCAACATTGATTGGGTTGGGGGGGGGGGAGCGGTATTGTGTGTAAAAAACTGTAATGATCCACTTACAATCTAAAACTACATGTGTCCCAACAACTTCTGATAGTGATTGTAGGTACGTACGTGTTGGCCTTTTAAGACAAATCCAGCACCAAAATTGCTGCTGCAAATCCTATTTTCCCAGTGACAAAATGACATATGACAAAACATACGATTTTTATAGTTTTTTGGTTCCTTGCACGAGCGCTATGATGCAAAATGCCGCCAATATTAGTTATACTAATTTTCGGGTGACGTCTGTGTTGACAAAAACGTTGCTTGCTTAAGCTCACTATTATTTCCCCTTACCGTTTTCGGCGACTTTGTGTTGGCTTGTGCAATTACAGCGTGTAAACTTACAAGAACAGTGAACCAAAGAAAGACAGTTGTAACATTCATGTTTGCAGTTCTGAAAAATGGAATAGAAAATTAATGACTTCACGTGAAGTTGTGAACACCAGCACGCACTCTACATAGACTGTACTGCAGATCAGTGAAATACGTACACCTTTTTATATGGGAAATACGAACCCAGACAATAGTGAATAAGTAATATGTTCAATGTGTACCAGCCAACTGCGTCATTAGTATATACCTGTATGGACATGACACATTGATCTGTCCTTCTAAAAAGCTGATAGTTTTAGTCAGTTGTCATTTCCTTTTGCATGGCAATCGAAACTTTATCTGTTTCATGATGGAGGAATTTTCTTAATTGTATAGACCCATTGCAGGTGATCGATCTTAAAATGAGAGCATACATGACATTTGGAGAACAACCTGAAACGAACAATTAATCAGAATGTGGAAACCAGTTTCTTCGTTATATGGAAATTTCTGCTATGGGTCAATAAGTGCAATGGATATAGGGGAACTGGGTCGTTGATTTATTCATGATGTTTTTTATATATTTCAAAAGCTAAAATTTTATATATTTCAAAAGCTAAAATACTTTTGCCTCACCATCGAGACCTATAAGCTCAATGGTATCATGTGCAGGGGGTAATTTCATGATAAGAGCATTATAAATTTATTAAAGATAAGAGCATTATATATTACCAACTATATGATATTGACACAATCAATTGATTAAGTCTTACTGTGGTCTATATATTGAACACAAAATATACTGATATTGACACAGTAATTTTATAAATACATGCATATAGCTATAGGCGGGTTTCAAGCAATTCTATATGAGACTTTAATAACACAATCATGGCAGATGGAGGTCATGTACACTGAACTGGAGTCTGATAAAAGCCATCTGTAGTCAGTATATTAGGGCTGTCAATGCCATGCGCCATTTAGGATGTAAACGAAACTTCATGAGTAGTATCAAGCACTTAACCTATAATGAGAGAAATTTGAATAGGTACAATGGATCTATTTTACCTGAAGGGAAAACATGTCCGGACCAAAATTCGACTTTTCACCCGATGGTCTATCAGACAAAAAAAGTCAATCTGTCTTTTGATTGGTTAGTGCTAATTAGATTATACTACAGGGTGTATAAAAAAAACTGAACAGATTTGAAATTGCTCTCAATTTCGCAAAACAGCCATTAGTATTTAGTTTTTGATGTATATAGCTTCTTTGGGTACTTATAATGTAGAATAATGAAAAAAATTCTCGAACTCAAATTTTGTGAACCAGGGGGTGTGTCTTTTCCAACAAACTAAAAATGGCTTGCGCACGAAATTTAAAAGCTTTAATCGTATTATGAGTTAATGGAGGGAAAATGTGTTGGGTTTTTAATTACTGTACAAAATTTCGGACAATTTTTTAAGCCCTTTAACTATCCACTTTTCCCTAAAAAATCAGCCTTTCGCATGCTTAATTATTTAATGCCTTTACCTAATTTGCATATTGCTGACATATGCAAATTGGGCAAACACATTAATTAAGCATGCAAATTGCTGATTTTTTAGGAAAAATGTAAGTTTGCGTGAATAGTCGAAGGGCTTAAACTGAAGCAAATTGTCTGAAATTTTGTGCAGCAATTAAAGACATTAAACACCCAACACATTTTTCATCCATTAACTCAAAATACGATTATAGCTTTTAAATCTCGTGCGCAAGCCATTTTTAGTTTGTCGGAAAAGACCCCCCGGTCTACATTATAATTATACCCAAAGAAGCCATGTATATAAAAAACTGGATACTAATAGCTGTTTTGAGAAATTGAGAGCAATTTCAAATCCATTCAGTTTTTTTATACGCCCTGTATATATTGTTCCAAACTTGGTGGGCATTGTTTTGTTTTCATGATATATTCAGCAGTTTTAAAGTTATAGCTATACTATAATAATAATTAACATGCTAATAGACCTTATGCATAATGACGTCACAAGGCTTGCTGCCCGCAAGGAATGCTGGTCTTAGTAGTCATCGCCCGGGAAAATTTCGATAGTGGCCATTTTGAATTGTTTAATTTTCCCGGGTGATGACTACTAAGACCAGCATTCCTTGTGGGCATCAAGCCTTGTGACGTCATTATGCATAAGGTCTATTGAATAAAGCGTACGTAAATCTATATAATTATAACTACATTAATTAGAGCTATTTATCCCTACTATGACTTCTTTGATGAAATAATAATTAAATGAATGTGAACTAACTTGTGAATGTTTACGTTTAAAACTCGGCCCAAATGTAATATTATGGGGAAAAATTATAAATTTGCTTCCCGCGGTTGTCGTAGTTCTTGAGGTTTCTTCGTTTCATCGGTAAACGTCGTTATCGTATACCTTCGTACCTCTTCGTAAACTTCGTGAACCATCGTACGATGCTCGTAATGCCTCGCAATGATTTCCATTGTCCTTTAAACGGCTCTAATGTTAAAGTCTGTATGTGTTAAATGGTTTCAGACTTTGTTACGCTTCTGTGTTTCTAAAAATCGTGAAAATGAAATTTTGTTTTTCGCGACTCGTGAAATCGAAAAATGATCTTCGTGACGAGACCCCCCTTATTAATCTGTAATTTTCAAGTTTTCAATTAGTTTTGCGGTTTTGTTTTAAAATGTATGCGTTTGTTTTACGCAATGGACCGCCGGTCCATTACGGGAAAATAATAGACCGCTGAAAGTGCTTCCCAGCCAATCACAGTCCGCCATTTCACCGGAAATTATCTTGCCATATAATAACAGGGCGCTGCGTGGCGCTGATAATAACTACCTCATAATGCATCGGTTTTGCTTCTTTGCAATACCAGTTTGCTTGCGGCCGTATATGTACTTCATTGAAGCAGTATTATATATTATAGTTTATACTTTATCTTTTTTGGTATCTCATATTAGCCGGGTTAATTTAATGAGATCCCACTTGCATGAGATATATAGTCATAGGCGTCATCCAGTGGTTGGGATAAAAATCTCCCCATATATTAAACACTATACCAACCGTTCTGCCCGGTAGCTATATAAACTGTCAAGTATATCGTCCCAGCAATCGGCATGAAGTTTCACCAAGCTAGTCTAAATTAACCTCGCTTTTCGTGCTACGAGAAAAGAAAAGAAGCCTCACATATCTAAGAGAAACTCACATATCGATTTTGTCCATGAGAAACGTCATATGGACGTTTGTCTGGAGACCCCCCCCCCCCACACACACCTTAGAAACGTCACACATAGTTATCGATATTTTGTTCTTATAGTACACACAAGGTAATTTTCTACTATTTCTACGGTCGGCTATTGGCGATGCTTCCGCGAGGAATATGTCATCCTCTGCTGACATATCTTTTTTATTAATATATATGAACTTCAAAATTTCCAACGTTTCTCAAAACAATTGTTTTTGCATGATATACTGATAATTTTAGCGCGTTTTTCTTGAAATTTGAGTGTTTTCAATGCAAGGAAGGCGTAATAATATAAATGTATTCGTATAGAACAGGTATGGTATTACGAATGTATAGACTGGTGTTTGTATCAAGTTGATCATCTTTTTTATATTCTGCAAAGATGATTCCGAAATGTTAAGGCTTTCGAAAAAACTATCGAATTTTTCCATGTTAACAGAGAAACGTCACAGCTGCAACCCCCTCGCCCCCCAAACGAACATATGACGTTTCTCATGGAAAAATCGATATGTGAGGCCAGCCGTTCCGCACGTTGGAACCAATAATTTATTGGCGTTGTAATGCCATTGTATGCAATAAAGTATTGGTTACAATGGATTTACAATTAATCCAAACGCTAATCCTAACTCAAACCCTAACCCTAACCCTAATCCTAACCCCTAACCCCACCTGCTAACCCCGCAACCTAACCGCAAACCCTAACCCCGGCCAGCTACCCCACCGCGTGGGCACACTAGGTTATAATGACCATGCCTAATTTGGGTCAAACATGTAAGAAACTCAAATGACTCTCTGGCTCATAAAATATTTGAAAGACAAGAAAAAAGTTAGAATTGAAAACTGATTTTTGATACAAAACTCTTCTAGCTTACATGTCATTGCCTATTTCAAATATCGCGTCTACGAGGCAATTTGTTTTTCGCAGTGCTTTAATAGCAACATTCCTTTCTACAGATAACTGCTTCATGATCAGTTCAATGTCTTCAGGTTCCAAACCGTCTTCACTTTCAGCAATCTCGCCAAATGCGAGGAAAACTGCATTTGGTTTCAGTCTCCCCAAAATGGTCAATTCTGTTTGTAATTTGCCTTTGTGTATCAGTTTCAATCTTCCTATAGGAACATGCAGAACGCGAGAAAAATGTTCTAGCACTTGCAGACCAGTGCAAGGCAAACCTAATTCGACTTTATGCTTTTTTTTCGCATATTTAACATACACAACAACATTAGAGATATCGTCCTGGGAGGTTGTGGGCATCTGATTGTGGGAACATGAAACAACATGTGAAACAACTGATTTTTCATTCTCTTTAAGTTTTGTTATTTCTTCTACGATTTCTGTTTGTTGTTTAACTGTATGAGCGCTTTTTACTAAGCTTATGTCTCGGACACCATGATTTAGGAAGCTTTCTGAAGGATCTAAGTTGATTTGTGAAGTGAACTGACAATTTTCCACTAAGGGTTTATGTAAATCCTGCTCTGCATTTTCCTTTTGTGCAAGTTCTTGGAGTTTATTTTTATAGTTCACAGTGTTGCATTTTCTTCCAGTTGTTTGCCCTATGGTATCATTGGCATCAAGTGTTTTGTCTAGCTTCATTGTGACTGTGTTATCATCATCATGGTCATCACCAGATTCGTGCATTTTACTACTAATGTACATGCAACAATTGGCTTTATGTGTCACCCAGTCGATTCTTTGACACTCTACAGAACTGAAAAACATACTTAAATTCTAACATGGTTAAATGAAAAAAAAAACACATGCAGTTTGAAAAAATTACAACGCATGCAAATCAGAAACTTAAATAATAAATTCTCATGGCCTTTAATAGGGTGCCTTTTTAATGCAATATGCTGAGCTTGTTTGTCAAGGACTTTAGAAATTCTCCCAACAATATACCTATGATGAATAGTTTTAGGCATACAGCTTACTGGTGTAAATCCTGTTCTTCCCACGTTTTAATAAATGAACACTTTGTGATACTGGAACAATTACAATAGCAGTAGCCTGTGCCCATGGCAAAGCTTGGCATAGCATTTTCAATTTATCATGGCATTTTCAACTGTCTTGGCATGACCTTGTTCAAGTGCTGGCATACCTTTGGCATGCCTCTACCACACCCCTTGGCAAATGAGGGAAGGGGTACAATTTGATAACAAATCAAATCCATCCTTCCAAATGATAGGGCAATATATCATGTCACAATAAAACCCCTGAACCTTGCCAGGGGGCATTATTGGTTCCTAAACATGGTCTAGCTGGACCATAGTGGAAAGTTCGTAATTTGCCCGCTGGATATATGCACCAGTAAACTTGCACTAAAAAATCAATCCCATGGGGGATTGATTACGACAGCAAACATTACCACCCGACCGAGTGATTTTACCACTCACTCTGGACTCTGTTTTTCCCTTCCAGGGATTCATTCATACTGCTCAAAGCAGCCAAAGGGCAATATTTATGATAATGGTCGAAATTTTTTTTAAAAAAAGCGCATGAATAAGCATGATATTTGTAGCACTGAAACACAGATGATAGAATATAGATTGTATAATGTATCATCTGTGACTGAAAGGAATATGCGTCTGTGTAGATTTTTGCGCGACAGTTTGCCGTACGCGTAAAATTTGCCGGCAAAATTATTTATACAATATTTTGTCAATTGAATATTTATTATCATAAATTATTTCAAACACAAAGTTTTCATGGCGTTTTATAATACATTAGAAATTTAGAACGACAATTGTGCCACTGTGCCAGAAATTAAGAACGCCACAAAATGCCACCGGCCACACCGTCGACACACACGGACAACACTTATACCGTTATATACGCTTTACGCCACGACAACATTTTATACCAAACATTTGATTTAGTATTACTCCAAATTTGACGTAATCCGTAAAATCCTACGCCGAATATATCCGGCGTAACAGACGAACTTTCCACTATGGTAGCTGGACTGCAGACTTCGTCAAGGTCAACGATGTCAACGTCGTGCACACTTGATATTTTTCAAAGCAGAACATATCGTGAGGTGTACTTTATATTAACAATATTTGTTCTTTAAATGAATCTGCCCTCAAATCTTTAATTTTCATTGTTTTTAAAATGCATCTGTATTGGGTCCTACTAAATACTGCCCGGAGCGCCCGGGGACGCCCTGAAGCGACCGGGAGCACGTGAGAATGCCCGGGGATATACAAGATAGTATAAATCAGTGCACGATCCTTTTTGAGTCTCTATGAGGCATTATCTTAATGAAAAATAATATTAAAAGTGATTTTCAACCAGCCTAGCAACAAGCGGTAAAAGCGCGGTTGCCCACGCTGGAAGTTGTGTGAAACATGAGCTTATATTTATTATAAATGTGAATATTTGCTGTTATTAAATTAAACTAAAGTTAAAATAAAAAATTAAGACTAGTCAGTTTGTTTTGATATATCAACTGCTGAGGACAAGTCAATTGTCGTTTGGCGGCGTTCGAAAAATTTTTGTCATTAAGATTAGGCCAAAAAGAAAACATTAGTCATTACTAATTAAATTAGCGTCATATAAACTCATAAAACCATTCCGCGTAAACAAAAACGCAGTTTTTCAGCCTAAATATTAGTAAAATATAGTGTTTATCTACTCTATTAATGCTTTTTATCTACTCTAAAGTATAGTTTAGGATATATTTTAGTCTTTCATCTTATCTTTTTAGACTTAGTTTGTTTTTGACTTGTCATAGATCTCGGTAATCTTAACGCCGCCAAACGACAATTGACTTGTTCTCAGCAGTTGATATATTATTAAAACAAACTGACCAGTCTTAATTTTTTATTTTAACTTTAACTTTATTTTAACAGCAAATATTTACATCTATAATAAATATAATCTCATGTTTCACAAAACTTCCTGCGTGGGCGACCGCGCTTTTACCGCTTGTTGCTAGGCTGGTTGAAAATCACTTTTTTAAAATATTATTTTTCATTAATATAATGCCTCATAGAGACTCAAAAAGGATCGTGCACTGATTTATACTATCTTGTATATCCCCGGGCGTTCTCACGCGCTCCCGGGCGCTTCAGGGCGTCCCCGGGCACTCCCGGGCAGTATTTAGACTATTTAGTACGACCGTCTGTATTTTTGGCTTTTATTATTTAGCCAAGGGTTTCAGGTGAAAGTAATAAAATAGAGTATGAATATTTTTTAATTAAAAACAAAGAGATAATACCAGTAAAATATCGACTGACATCTTCCACAACGTTTCATAATTCTGTCTTTTTTCCCGCAAACAACACAATTTACTGAATTTAGCCAATTCTTGTCGGCCATATTGTTTTCTCTTTTAGTCCACCAACGTCCCACGGTTCCCCCATGAAACCATTTTATCCCGTGTTTCCTTTCCACTTTCGTGAAAATTATACTATTTTTCTATTTTGGTTTTATGCCCTCAATTCAAGTTATTCAACTTGATTTGAAACGATAAAATAAAACATAAATAAATCCGAAACAATTAAAGTGCATCCGGTATAAACTACTGGCTAACTATGAGTCTATCGCATATTAATTAAAGGATTTTAAAAATGTATTTTTCATGAAAGAATATTGTGTTTTGGCCACTGGTTTTGGCACTTTTTTTGTAATGCAAATTAGAATTAGCATAATTATAAGTGGAAACATGATGAATTATTAATAAAGAAAATGGAAAAAGGATATTAATTAAAGGAAGGAAGTTCTGAAGATTATTTAAACCGTAAAGACTGTAAACAAAAATCAATGACATTCGCTGCAATTGACAAAGTTAAACCTTAGGTCCTGATGAAGAGCTGTCTTGCTATGGTAAGGATTGGTGAACTGAACTAAGATTTTGTTTTCTCTTTTGTGAAACGAGCGTTGTTTTTTCAATGTAAATAGGGAGTGAATTCATCGCAACTGGAGAAGGAAATTGGTCAAGAATTCCCTCCAAATGAGAAGTATTTTGGCCTTGTTAACGTAAGTATCTGCCACTGGATCGACGGCAGTTGTTGCGTTATCATTTCACTAAACTAAGTTTGTATTGTGGAGTGAGGATTTTATAGATATTTTTATGATAAATAATATCTGTGATAATATTATATCAATTTATAATTTTATACCAGCTTGTTGTGTTTCCACTTGATTAGTGTAAATATTTATTGCACTGAGCTATAGTGATTTATTGTTGTTGCTGGCTCATTTCAGGCATGCTCGCTGTAGGAGTTTAGAATTGTACTGACACATAGCCTGCAAGCATCCCCTCCTGGGTTGCGCTGGAAAAGGAGGGCCTGTACGGAACCATATGTTTTTTTTCCATAGTGATCAAAAAGAAATGCAGGCTTCTGATTGGCTTACACCTGTTCACAAAATCACTAAAAATAGCGAAAGTAAACAACGGCATTTTGAACTATATTTATAGTGTAAAACTTAAAGAAGAAACTATTGAACAAAATAAAACTAAGTGGAAACTAAAAGCAATATAGCAAAGCATACAGTGCAACAGCAGAAATCTATCTTGTAAATAATATGTTGTCAAGTAAGGCCACCATTTGTTGTATATTAGTTTCTCATCCCCGCCCGCATGCATTTTAAGAAAATGGTCTTGTTCGCCATTATTGCCATTATTGCAATTTTTGACCATTATTATAAAATTTGTAATGTCTTCAAAGCGAAATTTGAAAGAAAGACAATTAGAAATGTTCCCAAACCAAATGTTATAGTTAAAATATGAAATTTCATACCAAAACTGCCAGTTTCTCCCGCATTTACGTACACGCTTATCAAATATGCAAACTCGAGACGACTTGGCTACAAAATTATTTCATATGTGGAGCGGCCATGTTTTTAATATGAAAACATGGTTTCAGTTGCACTTACGAATTTTGTGCTGTTTTGCAATGCTGAATTACAGGGTATGGAAACATTCAGAAAGTTGCAGCTGTATAAAACATATACAACGATTCCTGTATTTTCCGGTACACACTATATAAATGCTTAATGCACACTTTTTCAAAGGTAAATTTTACGGAGAGGGGAAATCCGGCAAATAATGGCATAATGGTAATGGCCCACCCGCCCGCATCAACTTTAGGTGAAGCTCCGGATGAGAAACTAATATACAACAAATAGTGGCCTAATATTGAAAAGGGCTTGGTATATGACATGTATGATAGAGATGGCTTCACTGGAGTTACCTTTGCTATATTTGGCTGTATGCCTAATTATAGAGTTGATGCTCATTGGAATTTTGGCTCGATTTAGAATTTAGACCTAGTTTATCCCTGGCGGCCTAGTTAACTGTTAAGATATGCCAAAATATGGTCCAAATGTCTTAACATGTACATTGACCGTTTTCAAATGAAAAAAAAAACAATTAGAACTATTGATACAGTTTTGTAAATTATTTAATTTTACTGCATAATTATTAACTTCCTGAACAATGCTGGGTTTTTAAAATTAATAACAACAATATTGGATTTACTTTCTCATTTAGCTTACAGTTTCTACTACAATATAGTGCACTCATGATTTCAAAAATAATTAAATACATCTCCATTTACTCATTTAGATATGTTCCAAATCCCTATTTATCTGATCTGCTCTTTGTGATTTGATTCACTCTTTGTGGGGCTTACTTCATAATGTTATGTATTACATTTCTTCATAGTGCATTTCATGCCCTACGTCAATTTGACAGTCTTTGTTTATTTATGTCAGTTGGCACTGATTGGTTTGTGTTTGGCTAGCGAGAAAAAGGGTCTGGACGACTAAAACACATGGTTCTGTGCAAGCTGACTTATTTACCTGTTTGCACGGTAACACACACATCACATTGTGGATTTGACCATAGTTGCATGCACATGCAAATATTCCGAACATTCCAGGTATATCAGTCACTTTGTAGAGACTAGTTTATTTCTGTTCACTTGGGTATTCTGTTGTCCAAACAAAACCCAACACTTAAATGCTTTAATAATTAGTTATTCCAGAACCTATTACTCTTAGCAAGTATAAATAGACCATTTCCGAATTAAGCTCAGCTGTTAAGAACAGTAATGCCAAGCAACATTACAATTTAGCACAAAACCTTGTTCTTCCACTATCTTGCCTGTAGGCATTCAACCATGCTTTGGAAATGGACTATTCCTGTAGGCCTAAAGCCTATAATTTATGTTGTGCCCATTCCAAAACCGTAACCCTAAAATCTCTTGGTATAAAATAATATGCATACATGAAGTAGGTTCAAAACCAAGACATCTGGAAAAAGTGTAGGATTAAAAGACTAATAAACAAACAAAAAAGTAACACCAAGGATAGAGGGGAGGAAAAAAGGACAAAAGCCCCAACCAACCTGTCAGACCAGTAACAAATCTAACATACCCAAAACCATTACAGCCCAAAGAAACCCAACAAACCCGAACAGATCCAATAAACCCAACAAACTCAACAGACTCCAAAACTGACAAGCATGACAGTAGTCAGTAACTATGTAGTTTATTAAATAAATATTTTTCACATTTATAAACTTTTTATTTCAAACTTAGGAGTTGAAAGTATGAAAATAAATACTGAAAACGCGCTAGTCAGACAACATTGAAGTGTAGTCATTTGTTATGAGAAATAGTATGGGTGAAAGCGGAATATTGAATGCTGGGTTTTAGGTACTATTTAAAAAACACAAGCAGGAGTGCTTTATCAGATAACATGACTTTTTATCACATATAAAACGATGCATCGACACGGTTGTGATTTACTTTGTCTTTTCCTCATGAATTATTAATACTGATCAAGTTTTTAAAATCATTCTATAAGTAGAGAAACGCTGTGTGTCTGAAGGATGTGACTGGGTCTGTTGGGTCAAGTCTGTCAAATTGTAACTGTCTGTATTTTAAGACCATGCAGCTAAATTAAAAATGTTTTTCTTCCAGTTTGGGAATACCTGTTATTGTAACTCGGTCCTCCAAGCTCTTTATTTCTGTCAACCTTTTCGTGAGAAAGTGCTTGCATACAAGCCACAGAACAAGAGGAAAGAGACGTTGTTAACATGCCTCTCAGACTTGTTTGGAAGCATTGCTTCTCAGAAAAAGAAAGTTGGCGTCATGGCTCCGAAAAAATTTGTGGCAAGATTAAGGAAAGAAAATGGTAAGGGCATAGAAAACAGCAGTGGCAATGGAACACCCTTCCTTACCCCAGAGTTAAGCCTATCTAAGGTTGGGTGTTGTTACTTGATGGATGACTACCTTGCTCTGACTTGATGTGCTTGAAAACTTATATAAGCAGAGTTTCCATTGGTTCTCTAGCTGTTATGCTTCGAAGATTTTTATTGCAGTCTTACTTGTGGAAAACCAGAGACGGCCTTGTAAGTCTTTGATTTGGTCACATTGAAACTAAGATAAAACAATGAGCACCTCTTTATACATTTACTTACAAAACTGTCCATTTTCTTAAGCGAATTAAAGTACGTCTAAAACCTCTCTTTCTGCTTCCATATTTCCTGGCTTATACAGCATTGCAAGTGACATATTCACCTCGTATCTGTATTTTAATGAGATATAAGACAAGTGAAGGGTTATATCTTTGTTATCATCAAACAAAATTATTTAAGGATCAGCAAGTCCATTGGGTCACTGAGGTCGACGTCATTTGTCAAGGGTGTTTGTTTTCGTCAGGACATAACCCAGCAGTTCGACAGGAATTTGTAACCAAAATGACAATTTGAAGATGCATGCTAATGACAATGGGTTGCCTTCAATGATTTCATTTTCGCAGGATTATTTTGCCGCCGGATATTGCCAGACTGCTGCCCTACTGAAAGCATGTAGTAATGTAATTACTAATATAATTGTAACATAGGATTTACAGTATAAGCAGATCAGAAAACCCGAAGCTGTTTGTATCCTGTAAGCCATGCATTCACTCTTTTTTCAATTCCGTGAACTCTTTTGTTGATATCTAATTGAGAGTTACATACAGTGTAGCCTGCAGGGGCCGGTTGTACGAAGTCCGGATAGCGCTATCCACCGGATAGTGATTTTTTCAAGATTTGTAACTCGTATTAAAGTTTAGTATTTATAAGTTGGTTTTTTTTTTACTTCTTATGTCGTCTATATCCGTAGTTTCACACTTTTTCAAGCATTTTTTCAAAGGTTGAAAAAATCACTATCCGGTGGATAGCGCTATCCGGCCTTCGTACAACCAGCCCAACTATGCTAGGAAATTTCCTTTGATATTTGTGCTGCAAGGTCAAGTCGGTTCGACAAAGTCTGACAAAAAATATCCTGTGGATTCGGTTTCCTGAACGACCCTTTTCGGTTTCTAACTCTAATGATTTTTTGGATTTGGTTGCAGTTGTTTGCTTACCTTGTGACCCTACTTTTTTGTTTCTCACTTTGTAACATAACAAACACGATACTCGCGACTATTTCCTGGGTGTGGTGAGCTTAGTTACAAAATGTTTTACCATTGTAAGTTCTCAGAAATCCCTAGCCCATGGGTCGTGCTGAAGGCCAAGCAGATTGCTCGCCTTTGGTTGTTCGGCTTCATTAATGTTCGGCTTCATTTTGCAACTCTTGCATGCGTCACAAAACGCCATAAAATCCGAAAATCAAGAATTCACTTTGGAATTACATACTGTATAAGTCATGGACTGTCACGGGTGATGTCAAGATAATTGTTGTATACTGTAGATGTGCAGTATTATTGCATTATTGTTGTCATTATTTACATGTTTAGATGTTTTTGACAACTATATGCAACAAGATGCTCACGAGTTCTTTAACTATTTATTAAATACGATTGGAGACTTACTACAAGGTAGGGTATGCTGTGTTTGAACGAATTTATAGATACTTGCGAAAATCTCTTCATTCCTCTTGCCCTTTTCAAGTAAAAAAATTCTAAAATTCGGTGCCTAGTTATAGTAAATCTAGGATAATTTCTTATGATTTGAAAAAAATTGCATGGCTCATGCACGTTCTTTACAAACCTCTACCCATGCATTAAAGACAATAGAGGAGATCGTTCTATCATCAAGAGCAAACTCGTACAACACGTCTCTGTCGGAAAAACAGTCCATGGATTGGCAGTCGGCAAATGTGACTGCATGTTGCTGAAATTATCGTCAAGAACATTATTTTACTAAACAAAAATCAAGCTAGGAAAGGATACTTTCCGAAGTTTTATTTAACTTGTTATTTTCAATATTTTTGCGTGGAAACAATGATTTTTGCGTTGACAATATTTATACTTACATTATATATAATATTTGCTTGTGAACCAGGTCCAGAGAATCTTTAAATTCTTACAACCACTTAGATTTTTGTTGTATAATTTTGGATTTGAATTTCTATAAACGAAACATTACACGACAATTTGTATTTCTCCTGTTCAAAATACATGGTCAGTTTTTATTTAATTTACTTACTGTACTTTCATATTTTTACACATGGAGACTCATGTATTGCGGTAAACTACTTAAAAACGTGTTATTATATACTGTACTGACAGCTCATTATTTTTCTTGTAAATTGAACGTTTATGATCACATTTAGGTGAAAAACAGAAAGAGAAAGAAAAATTGGAACGACAGGGTAGTATTAGTAGCACAGCAAGTAGCAGAAGTACAGGCACGTGTAATTCGTCGGCTGCGGGTAGTACTATCCCACCAAAACACGACGAAACATGGATTCATGAGATATTTGAAGGCACATTAACAAATGAAACACGATGTTTATCTTGCGAAACGGTAAGTGTTGATCCTCCAATTTCACCTTGATTTAATGCTTCAACCACAACCTCGTACCCAGGACTTCCACAAGCGCAGAAAGCCTGTGTACGAGGTGTTGTATTTTATAACTTAAATCTAAACTAACAAAATAATATATATCGCTTTCAACAAGTAATAATCAGGGGCGGATTTAGACCGTTGCAACTGTAGCATATGCTACGGTCAGATTTTCCATAGGCCAGTTCTAACATGGATCATAAAATCAATGTAAAATATAATTTAGCAATATTTTGTTTACTTTCCTTGTTTATATTTCAAGGTTTTATTTTATTTAGTTTTATATGTTCTAAAACATTTTATTTTGACAAATTGATGACATTTATAATACGTAACGTTAATTATTTTAAGAATTCCCGCCCGAAAATACGGTTGTAATTGCCCGTTTGCGGGTCATTACGCAATGGACTATAGCTTAGAAAATATCATCCTTCAGAAATACCCCGTAGCGTGTTGCCCATATATGATCAATTTTCGCTACGGTCAGATTCATTAAGGTCGAATCTGACCGTAGCGAAAATTGGCATATACGGCATTCTGATTGGTTTGCTACGGTCAAACGTAGCAAACCAATCGGAATGGGGCAAATGCTATAGTTTGCTACGGTGGCATGAAATTGGCTACTGCTCCAGAACGATGGAATATTTGATATTTGTGTTTGGCTCATCGACAACAACATGATATTGGGAACCCACAGTACGGTTGTGCGCATTTCGAAATGAAAGCCGTCGTAAAGCTAAAGGATTTATATGCGTCGAGGTAGAAATAAAATCAGATAGTAAAACGAATCATTTCCAGTCAGGTAAGCCTTATGAATGATAAGAGATGCACATTATATTTTAATTTGAGTTTTTACTGTATAGTGTTCGCTATTAACTTCGCTTTATTAAAGTGTTTGTGCGCGTATGTACAGTATATCTGCATGTATTGGAATTAATACGCGAATTATGATATGCGCGTATATATATCGTGTTTTATAGCGCGCTAATATTTGTTTGTAATGCGTATATATTCGTAAGATACGCGTATTCATATCATACGCGCGTTCATATGATATGCGTATTCGTATGATACACGCGTTCGTAATGATACGCGCATTTCGGTATTCAATTGATAATGATATGCGTATTATACGAGTATCATACCGATATCGTATGTTAAAATATACGCGAGCAATAGTTTACATTTTGAGATCATTTCGGCTTATTTTTGCTTGAGAAATGAATACAATGAGGACAAATTTAATGGTCACATGCAGTGCTCAGAACGCAGGAAATGGCATTTCCGGGCTTCAAATTTCAAAAATTTTCTCGGGGGGGGCATGCCCCCGGACCCCCCTAGCTATGTGAGGTCTTGGAAAATGCTACGGTCAGATTTTTTGCTGGATCCGCCCCTGAATATGTCCTTATAAATGTGTATTGTAGTCCGCCATTTATATGCACATGTTCACTGTCCGTGGGGGAGGGGAATAAAACCTAGTAATGACATCACTACACCAGGTTTCCTCGACCATAGTTAAAGAAAAAAGATGGTTATAGGAAGGCCGGTAAACATTAAAGAGTTTCGCAATCGAACCTCAGTTGATGTTGAAAAGTACCTGAAGATACGCAAATCTGTTGTCTTAGGCTTTTTAATATTTAAATATTAGGCTGAGTGATTGACACCTACATATAGCTTCTCTCACCATGGAAGTGCACAAATTCCCACTAAACGTCAACAAAAACACATGAGAACAATGACTTTTGTCAACCGACAACAATGTCCTTCGTACTTACATCTGAAACAGTTGGATTTTTGATGATGTTGCGGCATTTTTTAGTCGTACAGTATGCTGTTCTATCCTATATGGTTGTTGTACACGGAGTAACGTTTTGCATTAATTTCCAAACTACATATATAGTGACAGAAATCTTTAAGACATATGCCTGATATGAGTATTTCTTTCTTCTACAGTACCTATAAGTCTTAATTCTTCCATTGATTATTTTCCGCTTGACTAATCGCCGTGTACGATAGCGAATTGCCACCCCATTTCTGTTTCATTATGCATCTTTCTCCTTATTGTACATTATGGTGATAAAATGTATTGCATTGTGATATTTGCATTCACAGGTTAGCAGCAAAGATGAATGTTTTCTGGACTTATCAGTTGATGTGGATCAAAACACTTCAATAACTCACTGTCTAAGGTAATATAAATGCTTTGATTACGAAAACCCATGCACTACTACTTTGATCGGGCATTTCTATAGCTAGGAGCTGTTTACATGGATGTAAGTGTTGAATCCTTTTTGAATACATGCATGTAAATGATCTAATATTTATAAAATGAATTAATACAGATTGAACTTATACTGCTATAAAACGTGTTGAAACAACCTAAACGAGCGATCAATGCCTAAAATTGTCATCTCTTCGTCGATGTATTAACTTATCCAATATCTTGGTTACTGTTGTGTTGTACACGGTGCTCTTTTTCTCCCAGGGGATTTTCGTCAACTGAAACACTGTGTAGTGAGCATAAGTACTTTTGTGAAACTTGTAAAAGTAAACAGGAAGCTCAAAAAAGGTTTGTTGTTTTTTTTGTTTACAGTATGTACACGAGGACCTTAGCCTATATATAGTATGTATTGGCTACAATACTTGTTATTTGACAAGAAAACGCTTAATGTAACAAGACTGGTGTAATCTCCCAATATCTGTTAGAAAACAATAATTGACATGATATTTGTGGTGTTACTCTGAGTGTATATCCACACCGGGCGAGCTTGAAAAATATGCCCGGCCACGGTGGGATTCGAACCTACGACCTTTGGAATACTAGCCCAATGCTCTTCCAACTGAGCTACGCGGTCAGGACGGTTCAAGTAAGTGATATTTCGGAACAGTATCTAGTTGCTTCAATACGAATATGTTCTAGTAATATGAATTTTTTTTTCTGTGTTGGTGTTGTGTACTCAGGTGAATAATATGTTTGCGCTGTTACTCTGAGTGCATATCCACACCGGGCG